CCCCTCACTTCCTCTTGTATGTACTTTTGTATAACTCTGAGGGTCTCCTTCCATTTCCATGCATTTTCCCTTCTCTCTCCCTTTCCCTCCCACCTCTCATCCCAGTTTAATGTTAATCTTCTTCTCATGCTCTTCGACCCTACTCTGTTCTTAGTTACTCTCCTTATATCAAAGAAGACATTTGGCATTTGTTTTTTAGGGATTGGCTAGCTTCACTTAGCATAATCTGCTCTAATGCCATCCATTTCCCTGTAAATTCTATGATTTTGTCATTTTTTAATGCAGAGTAATACTCCATTGTGTATAAATGCCATATTTTTTTTATCCATTCATCCATTGAAGGGCATCTAGGTTGGTTCCACAGTCTAGCGATTGTGAATTGTGCTGCTATGAACATCGATGTAGCAGCATCCCTGTAGCATGCTCTTTTTAGGTCTTTAGGGAATAGACCAAGAAGGGGAATAGCTGGGTCAAATGGTGGCTCCATTCCCAGCTTTCCAAGAAATCTCCATACTGCTTTCCAAATTGGCTGCACCAATTTGCAGTCCCACCAGCAATGTACAAGTGTACCCTTTTCCCCACATCCTCGCCAGCACTTGTTGTTGTTTGACTTCATAATGGCTGCCAATCTAACTGGAGTGAGATGGTATCTTAGGGTGGTTTTGATTTGCATTTCTCTGACAGCTAGAGATGTTGAGCATTTTTTCATGTACTTGTTGATTGACTGTATGTCCTCCTCTGAGAAGTGTCTGTTCAGGTCCTTGGCCCATTTGTTGATTGGGTTGTTTGTTCTCTTATTGTCTAATTTTTTGAGTTCTTTGTATACTCTGGATATTAGGGCTCTATCTGAAGTGTGAGGAGTAAAGATTTGTTCCCAGGATGTAGGCTCCCTATTTACCTCTCTTATTGTTTCTTTTGCTGAGAAAAAACTTTTTAGTTTGAGTAAGTCCCATTTGTTGATTCTAGTTATTAACTTTTGTGCTATGGGTGTCCTATTGAGGAATTTGGAGCCCGACCCCACCAAATGTAGATCGTAGCCAACTTTTTCTTCTATCAGACGGCGCATCTCTGATTTGATATCAAGCTCCTTGATCCATTTTGAATTCACTTTTGTGCATGGTGAGAGAAAGGGATTCAGTTTCATTTTGTTGCATATGAATTTCCAGTTTTCCCAGCACCATTTGTTGAAGATGCTATCCTTCCTCCATTGCATGCTTTTAGCCCCTTTATCAAATATAAGATAGTTGTAGTTTTGTGGATTGGTTTCTGTGTCCTCTATTCTGTACCATTGGTCCACCCGCCTGTTTTGGTACCAGTACCATGCTGTTTTTGTTACTATTGCTCTGTAGTATAGTTTGAAGTCTGGTATCGCTATACCGCCTGATTCACACTTCTTGCTTAGCATTGTTTTTGCTATTCTGGGTCTTTTATTTTTCCATATGAATTTCATGATTGCTTTCTCTATTTCTACAAGAAATGCCGTTGGGATTTTGATTGGCATTGCATTAAACCTATAGAGAACTTTTGGTAATATCGCCATTTTGATGATGTTAGTTCTGCCTATCCATGAACAGGGTATATTTTTCCATCTTCTAAGATCTTCTTCTATTTCTCTCTTTAGGGTTCTGTAGTTTTCATTGTATAAGTCTTTCACCTCTTTTGTTAGGTTGATTCCCAAGTATTTTATTTTTTTTGAAGATATTTTGAATGGAGTGGTTGTCCTCATTTCCATTTCAGAGGATTTGTCACTGATATACAGGAATGCCTTTGATTTATGCGTGTTGATTTTATATCCTGCCACTTTGCTGAATTCATTTATTAGCTCTAATAGTTTCTTTGTAGACCCTTTTGGGTCTGCTAGGTATAGAATCATGTCATCTGCAAATAGTGATAATTTAAGTTCTTCTTTTCCTATTTTGATGCCTTTAATTTCTTTCGTCTGTCTAATTGCTCTGGCCAGTGTTTCGAGAACTATGTTGAACAGAAGTGGTGAGAGAGGGCATCCCTGTCTTGTTCCAGATTTTAGAGGGAATGCCTTCAATTTTTCTCCATTCAGAATGATGCTAGCCTGAGGCTTAGCATAGATTGCTTTTACAATATTGAGGTATGTTCCTGTTATCCCTAGTTTTTCTAGAGTTTTGAACTCTAGAAGGGATGCTGTACTTTGTCGAATGCTTTTTCCGCATCTATCGAGATGATCATATGGTTCTTATTTTTAAGTCTATTGATGTGGTGAATAACATTTATTGATTTCCGTATATTGAACCAGCCTTGCATCCCAGGGATGAATCCTACTTGATCATGGTGCACAATTTTTTTGATAAGTTTTTGTATCCGAGTGGCCAGAATTTTATTGAGGATTTTTGCATCTAGGTTCATTAGAGATATTGGTCTGTAGTTTTCTTTCTTTGAAGTGTCTTTGTCTGGTTTAGGTATCAGGGTGATGTTGGCCTCGTAGAATGAATTTGGAAGTTCTCCCTCTTTTTCTATTTCCCGAAGTAGCTTGAAAAGTATTGGTATTAGTTCCTCTTTAAAGGTTTTGTAAAACTCTGCTGTATACCCATCCGGTCCTGGGCTTTTCTTAGTTTGTAGTCTTTTGATGGTTTCTTCTATTTCCTCAATTGATATTGGTCTGTTAAGGTTGTCTATATCCTCCTGACTCAATCTGGGCAGATCATATGACTTAAGAAATTTATCTATGCCTTCACTATCTTCTAATTTATTGGAGTATAAGGATTCAAAATAATTTTTGATTATCTTCTGTATTTCTGAAGTGTCTGTTGTGATATTGCCTCTTTCATCCCGTATGTTAGTAATTTGAGTTCTCTCTCTTCTTCTCTTCGCTAGCATGGTTAAGGGTCTGTCAATTTTGTTTATTTTTTCAAAGAACCAACTTTTAGTTTTGTCAATTTTTTCAATTGTTTCTTTTGTTTCGATTTCATTAATTTCAGCTCTGATTTTAATTATTTCTTGCCTTCTACTTCTTTTGCTGTTGTTTTGCTCTTCTTTTTCTAGGATTTTGAGATGAAGTATGAGATCATTTATTTGTTGGTTTTTTCTTTTTTTAAGGAATGAACTCCAAGCAATGAATTTTCCTCTTAGAACTGCTTTCAATGTGTCCCATAGATTCCGATATGTTGTGTCTGTGTTTTCATTAATCTCTAAGAATTTTTTAATTTCTTCCTTGATGTCTTCTATAACCCATTGATCATTCAGTAACCTATTGTTCATTCTCCAAGTGATGTATTCTTTTCCCTTCCTTCTTTTATCATTGATTTTCAGTTCCATTCCATTATGATCAGATAGGATGCATGGTATTATCTCTACTCCTTTATATTGTCTAAGAGTTTCCCTGTGACATAATATATGATCTATTTTTGAGAAGGATCCATGTGCTGCTGAGAAAAAAGTGTAACTGCTTGATGTTGGGTGGTATATTCTATATATGTCAATTAAGTCTAGGTTATTAATAGTGTTATTGAGTTCTATAGTTTCCTTATTCAACTTTTGTTTGGAAGATCTGTCCAGTGGTGATAGAGGTGTGTTGAAATCTCCCATGATTATTGTATGGTGGTCTATTAGACTCCTGAACTTGAGAAGAGTTTGTTTGATGAACATAGCTGCACCATTGTTTGGGGCATATATATTTATGATTGTTATGTCTTGTTGGTGTATGGTTCCCTTGAGCAGTATGTAGTGTCCCTCTTTATCCCTTTTGATTAACTTTGGCTTGAAATCTATTTTATTTGATATGAGTATGGATACTCCTGCTTGTTTCCGAAGTCCATATGAGTGATATGATTTTTCCCAACCTTTCACCTTCAGCCTATGTATGTCTTTTCCTATCAAATGCGTCTCCTGTAGGCAGCATATTGTTGGGTCTTGTTTTGTGATCCATTCTACTAGCCTGTGTCTCTTGATTGGTGAGTTTAAGCCATTAACATTTAGGGTTATTATTGAGATATGGGTTGTTCTTCCAGCCATATTTGTTTATTTATGTTACTAAACATGGTTTGTTTTCCTCTTTGATTATTTTCCCCCCTTTAGTGTCCTACCTCCCACTGTTGGTTACCAGGAGATGGAGTTGAATTTGTTATAAAATCTGGAAATTTATTTTAAACTTCATACCTAATATGAATGTTTCCTCATAATCTTTTTCTCCCAAAGGCAATCCACTTTCTCCAACTATACATTTATAATATTATTACTCCTAAATAAATTTTTTATAAAAACACATAGAAAAGGACACAGTTGCTTCATCTGTCTCCAAATTCAATCCTTCTGTATGATTTTCAAACTGCTAATTTACATAATCAATAAATACAAATACCAATAAATATTACTCTAAAAGAATATATTAAAACAATGGGTAAAGGAGATATATATATATATATATATGTATATATGAATATGTACTTACACACAAAACATGAGTTAGCACATTCCCACTACATCATAGTAAGATGAACAAATATATACAAACATACACATATGCAAAACAAGATAAAGCAAGGTAATATCTATTCAAATGTAAGCAGCACTGAATTGTACATACAAATTCTTATTTCACTAAAGGAAATGTAATGAAGACCTTGCTGACAGTACTATACCCAGTTTTCAGCCTCGGTACTTAAAAGTAATATAAAGATGTGGGATGACATTTAAAGTAAAGTTGAAAAGAACAGGAAAAGATTTTAAAACAACACATGAAGAAAAGGATGGGCTAATCTGCGATAAATTTAAGGGGCCATGAAATATCATGTAAAATATATACAGAATCATAATGGCTAATTTTTAAAAAGTGCACTGTAATCAGATGGAATTCTTCCTAAAAAAAAGTAAAATCAAAGTTTAAAAAATACTTTCTAAAAATACTGCAAAATAATGCAGTAAAAGAGGTGATAGTGCTTCCTTCCTTGTACTGCAAAGAGAAATGCTCAATTACGTAGACTAAGAAAATGTCTGTTTAAAGGCAGGGATGAATTACAAGACCTCTGAAATGAAGTACATCCCAGTTTTTAATTTTCTAGTGAAGGAACATATTCACTGAAAGAAGTTCAGCTGACTCTACAGAAAAAATCAGAACTAGAACTACAACATTGTGTAAGACAAATCATTTTATAACAAAAGCTAAGCAACTATCCAAAATATTTTTTATATTACAATTATGCTGCATGAAATTGAACAAAGATAAGTGAAACATTATTGGAATCACCTGAGGAGCTTTTCCTACTACACAGTGACTTGTCTCTGTATTCCTTCCAGAATTGGCAAGTGTGCAGGGGGCAGAGAGATGCTTGAGATGGTTGATGACTATGTATGTATTATTTGAGGAATATCCATAATATAATGGGGGAAACTCCCTAGGTGATCAATACATCATTGACTGTCTAGCATTTACTGGGGAATTGTGTTTGAACAAAGTGGTATGCTAATTACACCTTAGAAATAACTTTGTCACATAGATTATCTGAAATATAATTTTATCTGTATAAACAGGGGAATCAACTAAGGTGCCCTATAACAAATTGGTATTTCTTGCATATTTAAGAGAGTGAAGGAAAAAAATTAAAATTTTATGAAAATTTAGATTTAGGTTAAGAATAATAAAAAACTTTTGTATGTTCCAACATATAAAATACATAAGCTTATAATTCAATTGTACAAAAAAAATTCCTACATCCTATCCACTCTACTAAAGGGCTTTCATAATAACCAAAGGTACTGCCACAAAAGATTATTAAAAACATTTAAAATACAATTTTATATAATTTTTATTTGTACTTTAGAATTTAAACAACTTGCTGGGAACATCCTTTGCGAGGCACCACAGTCTTTTTATTTGAAACTATTGAAACTTCAAGACAGGCTCACTAATTTTTTTTTTCAAGAGCAAGCAACAAATGTTAGCTGAAAATAGCCAACTTAATGATTATCTGTGACAAAGACTTCATTATGTGAGCCTAAATAGCCTCCCCACCTCTGCCTCTCCTGTGGAGGAGGGGGTCTTTGTGTGCTTTTCTGTGATGGTTCCACTGAATTCATTACAATAGAGATGGACATTTGATATTCATAACGATCCAACATCTGAGCAATCTTCTTTCGAGACACACCATGTTTATTCCTCTTTTCTAATTCTTCAGGATCAAATTTCCACCAAGTTTCAGGTTCATGAAACTCTACTCTGTATCCTTTTCCTATGGCCATTTCCACATAAGGTTTCATTTCCCAAGCTTGGGTATTAGTGTTGTCTATTATAACTGGAGATCTTCCCTGATCAATAGCTTGTTTTGCTCTGTTCTGGTTCCAGTCATGGGCATCACCAAGTTGATTAACATTATACCTGTACCCATCTTGATGGTGAAAATAGTCATCAGTGCTGAATACAATGCCATCACGACTCTGACCAAGCAGAATTCGAGACAACGTTGTTTTCCCAGAACCAGGCAGACCCCTTAAAAGAATCAGTAACTTCTGCAATTTATTTAACTTTTCCTCTTGAAATTGCTGGTTCACAAACCTGTCCATTCCACTATGTTTGTCCATAGAAGGATCTTTCCAGCATCCTTCTCTGATTTCACAGAAACTGTTACTCACATATCCATCTTGCACACTGCAGCCATTTCCAGAGTGAACACTACTGTTATTCTCACTACAGTCAGTATACTCATTGTTCTGATCAAAAGTCAAACAACTCCAGTTAACATGACAATTATGTACATCATACCCATTTTGCATATGAGAGTCATCTTGGGCATGGAAAACATTTGGTGGTAGATTTGGAGGAGCATTGAACTGTTGAATATTTAAGTGATAGTTAAAACTGGGAAGAGGAGGACCATGGGGTACTATAAAAGGATGTGTTGATTGCCATTCAGGCCTGAAGGAAGCAAATGAAATATCACAAAATGCAGGAATTACTTGTCCATCAAAGGTATATTTGCCTGCCTCATTCCCCAAGTACTGCTGATAACCACAAGGCAACTCAAGAGCATTCTTAAGATCTTTATTTTCTTCATCAGATTTTAAGACATCATTTTTATGGCCCTGGTAATACTGAATAAGTTGTTCCTGAGAAGGTTCAACTTCCTTACAACTGACTTCCAAATCATCTTTTTCATTTTCAAGTTCTTCAATTTCTTTGTAAAATTGGGTTAGTTCTGTGTCAATCTCTGATTTTTTGGAGTTAAACTTCTGTTTCTCCTCTAGTCTTCCCTTGTCATTTACACCACTCAGAGTATCTGCCTTATTCCTCTTTTCACTACATTTCCTTTTCTCAGGGGGTTTGTAAATGGGTCCTATAAATGCCTTACTTGTGCTATATATCTCATCATCTCTGGATACTAATGAAGGGTTTCCATCCTGTAAAACTTGCGAACCAATGGATTCAATAACATCTAGTCTATCGCACACAGGTTTCAACAACTCTGTACTTTGAGTTTTGTCCTCCTGAGGATAACTATGTCCTCTGGCATCAATGATAGCTGCAGTATCCTGATTGTTTCCAGTTTTCTCTTGGATTCTGTGAAAAGAAGCACTACCATGATCAGGGAAAACATAATCCTCCGCAGTTGACTTCAATTTTTTATAGCATGGCTCATTTGTTAATTCTTCTCCAGGTCCCAAGAATTTAGCTTCAATTTCACCATAAGGCATCTTTATAAAGGTGAAAGAAACGCCGGGACACCGCCACAAAGCAGAAAGCTGAAGAGAATAAACTCTCCGCCGTCAGGATAAGGGTAAGGAGCCGCACCTCCGTACGCAAGATGGCGGCCACCGCACGGTTTCCCAGGCAGGAACTCTCCATTCATCTATTGAGAGACATCTAGATTGGTTCCATAGTCTAGCTATTGTGTTTTGAGCTGCTATAAACATTGATGTGGCTGCGTCACTATAGTATGCTGATTTTAAGTCCTGTGGATATAAAGCAAAGAATGGGATAGCTGGGTCAAATGGTGGTTCCATTCCCAATTTTCTGAGGAATCTCCATACTGCTTTCCATACTGGTTCCACCAATTTGCAGTCCCACCAGCAATGTATGAGTACCTTTTACACCACAGCCTCACCAACATTTATCGTTGCCTGTATTTTTGATGATTTCCATTCAGAATAGAGTGAAATGAAATCTTAGAGTAGTGTTGATTTGCATTTCTTTAATTGCTAGAGATGTTGAACACTTTTTCGTATAGTTGTTGATCAATTATATTTCTTATGTGAAGTGTCTGTTCAGTTTCTTAGACCACTTATTGATTGGGTTATTTGTTTTTTTTTTTTGGTGTTAAGTTTTTTGATATATATATATATATATATATATATATATATATATATATATATATATATCTCCTAGAGATTAATGCTTTATCGGAGGTGCATAATTTTTTAGAAATCATGGCTCAGATCAATCTACAATGAGCATGCATCAAAGATTTTATTCAGCTTTTTAATTAAGGAAGGAAATAAGTCATTGCCACTGTATGTAAGAAGAATCCAACCTATTACATTTAAATAGATGAATCAGGAATGCAGAAGTTAACATTTAAATAGATGTGAAACTGGCTTTGGGTGATGGGGGAGAAAAGGGAATTCATTGTCCTTACACAAAACAGAATTTGTTTATCCATGGATAAGTGTTGTTTCATTGCTATTAGTTGTCAACTATTTATAATTACCAAATAACTCAAAGTCAATGGAAAATGCAGAGCCACCGAAGAATCCAATAAAAAGGAAAAGTATGTTTGGTAAATGCCTCATTTTCTACAAAAGACACTCAGAAAACTTTTGTTCTTTACAAAGTCCTTCACAATTTTCCCTACAGGAGTTTTTTGTGGTTGCTTAAGGGAAGAATATGACATGTTTCTATGCTGATTGGAATGACAGAGGGACTTTGGTGAATCAGGAAGGAGAGGAGAGAATTGCAAGAAAAAAAATTGCTGAATATGTGAAAAAGGAAATCCAGTCATAAGCCAAATTCACAGCAGGACTTCAAATGTGATAAGAAAGAAGGGAGAGGAGGTGAGCCAGATGTAGGTGGTCAATACCCATGCTGGTAGGGAAGAGATGTAATGTATTTATGATGCATCTGCATCAGAACCAAGAAGCAAGAAAATAGATGAAGGTGAAGTGGGTGGAGAGGGTGATAGACAATTAACAATGGAAAGAGGCATCAAGTGGCCATCCTTGTAACCCTAAAAATATATGGGCTAGGGAAACAGTGGAGTAGGTTGGAATTGATAAAGGCCAAATGGAATCAAACTTTATGACATGACCAGAATCAGTAGCAAAGGGATAGATGTGTAGATCCATGGAACAGAAAAGAGAACCCAGAAAAAGACTCTTAAAAATATGCTCAACTTATTATTTTAAACAAAGATACAAAAGCAATTCAATGGATGAAAGACAAGTTTCCATAATTAGTGTTAAAGCAATTGGACATCCACAGGTAAGTAAATAAATAATCTCACACTTTTGCACAAAATAATTCAAAATCAATCATAGATTTAAATGTTAAAGGTAATGGTCTGAAACTTTTAGAAAAAATATAAAAGAATACTTTAGGATTTATGACTAGACAAAGAGTTCTTAGAGTTGGTATCAAAAGAAAGATAATTGAATAAATTGGACTTCATCAGTACTAAAAAGCTTTTTTTTCCCCCTCTGTTAAGAGAATATAAAGACATATTACAGACTGGAAGTAAATATTTGGTAATCACATACCTAACATTGGTCTAGTACCTAGAATATATAAATAGTTTTAGACATTAATAGTAAAAGAAAGGCAATTCAATTAGAAAATGGTAAAAGCAGATAAACAAACATTTCTCCAAAGAGGGTAAGTAAATGGGAAATTAGTATGGTTGATTTATATAATATTCTTGAATTGAAAATCTTAAAGAATAGAGAGAAGGCTCCTGGTCATTAAGGAAGTAACCAGGTGAAAGGGCAGTGGGTGTAGCTATAAAAGGCAACAGGAAGGATCCCTGTGGTGATGGAAATGCCCTGCATCTTGACTATTAATTTCCATATCCTGGCTGTGATGTTGCACTATAATCCTGCAAGGTGTGACCTTCAGAGAAAACCAGCAAAGGCTTCATGGGATCTCCAACAACTGCATATGAATCTACAATCATTTCAAAAAAACATTATTTTTAAGTTTAATTAAAACAAATGTGACCGCATGGATGTGGGGACTCTGTCCCAGCTATCAGTCCTGTGTTTGTGGCTCAGGACAAGAATCAGGTTTCTTCTGATTGAGCTGTGCTTTTCCAGGTAAGAACAGTGAAAGTGGATGAGGATGTATGCAGGGAGCAAGATGAGGAAGAACACTGAGGCTGTGACTGGTCAAGCCAGGGAACAGGGTAGGTGGGAGTGAAGAAGAATAAGAAACAGGTGGGATTAGTTGATAGAGCCCCATTATTTGAAGCACACCTAACAATATAAACGAGCTAGTGTAGAAGCACATATGATTTGAGAGTGAGATGCTTCAAATTGAGATTTTGAGATATTGTAGTTACAGTATAATCATGGAAGGTGAAGTAGAAAAAGAGAATCAGACATAAGGATGGCAATGCACTGTGCAAGGATTTGGCAGAACAAGGGGCTAGAAATGGTCTTATCTGGAAGTTACAATTAGAAATAAGGAAGGCACCTATCTCTCTCAGTCCTGGAATCTGATGAGAAAGAGTCTTTAAGTAAAGGTAAGAAGAGACTCAGAGAACAGCTCGGTGGTAATTTAGAGCACTTGGCTCAAAGTGTGGCTCAGACCAGCAATTTTAGCAGCATCTGGTGACTTCTCAGAAATGCAAATTTTCAGGCCACCTCGATCCCCCTGAATCAGCATCTCTAGGGGTCAGTCAATCTCTGGAATCTGTGCTGTGACAAGCCTGCTGGGAATGATGAAGAAGCCAAAGTTTGAGAAGCACAAGTTTAGAGCAGTGGTTCTTGAGCCCAGGTTAGAGAATTGATGGAGGCAATGTGAACAGAAGGGAAGGCCAGAGGGAATTTTCCAGGAGAAAGCTCATGAATCTAAGGGAACAGAGCAGGAGAACCAGGAATCAGGGAGAGATGGAGTCCTGAGACATTTGAGACAGAGCAATGGTGACTAGTGACTTGAGGGACTGTATCAGTCATACTGTGACCAAAATTACCTGACAATGCATTTTTTTTGTAGGAAAAGTTTAATTTGGTCCATGGATTCAGAGGTCTCAATCCAAGGCTAATAGACTCCATACTTCTGGGTCTGAGACAAGGTAGAACATCATGGTGAAAGTGTGTGGCAGAGAAAACTACACAGTTCATGGCAAACAGGAAGCAGAGAAAGAGAGGGAGGGAGGGAAAGGGAGAGAGAGCACATGTGCCAGGAACTAGATATAGTCTAAGGTCTTACCTTCAGTGACCTACTTCCACCAGTCACACCCCACTAACCATAGTTATCATCCAGTGATCCCCTCAGATTATTAATCCATCAAATGGATTAATTCATTGCTAAAGTCATAACCCTCATAATCTAATAATTTCACCTCTGAACATTGCTATATCACCTAATACATAAGCTTTTGAGGTAACATTCCTAGATCCAAAATATAACAGGGATGCACAACTTTTTGTTAATATCTAGCAGCCCAGGGGGAGTTTTAGTCCAGAAGTCTGGTGGAAGGCGAATAATAATCAGTACCAACTCCAGCTTTTGTGGGTTTTATGCTTCATTTAATATGCCAACTTGACTGGACTAGAGATGCCCAGATAGCTAGTAAAGCATTATTTCTAGATGCATCTGTGAGGTTGTATCTAGAAAAGACTAGACTTTGATTAGACTGAGTAAAGGAGATCTACCTTCACCAACGTGGATGAGCATCAATCAGTCCATTGAAGGCCTGAATAGAATAAAATGTTAGTTAAAGATGATCCCCCCATCTCTCTTTCTCTCTCTCCCCCATCCCTCCCTCCCCTTTCCCACCCTCCTTGAGCTAAGACATCCATCTTCTCCTCATCTTAGACATTGAGCCTCCTGGTTCTATAGCCTTAGGACTCTGGAATTTGAACTAGCACCCCTGAGTTTCCTATTCTCAACTCTCAGGCCTTCAGACTCAGGCTAAATTATACCACCAACTTTCCTGCTTCTCCAGCTTGCAGGCAGCAGATTATGGGCCTTCCCAGCCTCCATAACTATATGAACCCATTCGACAATTACTCTCTTCTCTATATGACTATATCTGATTACTTCTGCTTTTCTGGAGAACCTAATACATTGGGGGACTGGGCTATGATAATATGCAGTGGTGGAACAGGCTGAGGACAGGGTGGTGGGCATATGAGGACTCAAGGGATTGAGTGCCATAGGGAACTGTGAGGGTGATAAAAGAATCCCATTAAGGCTGATAAGGGAAGAAACAGTACGTGCGGCAGGTACTATTCTCCTACTTCCGTGAAAGAGTAAAAGCTGTAGAAATGGATCCTAAAAATAGGTTAAACTTAATGTCATCAGCCTCTTGATTTCTCAGAAAAAGGCAACAAGCCTTTTGAGAATCTGCCTTTATCTCCTCCAACTCAGACTCTGGAAAGACTTTCTCTCATAGACTGAACTCATTCCTGATAACCATTGCAGATAATCAGCAATGAATAATTATGAATACTTCTTTCTTTCTCCTTTAAATAAAAATAAATATGTTATTGAGTTCTATAGTTTCTTTGTTCAATGTTTGTTTGGAAGATCTGTCCAGTGGTGAGAGAGGTGTATTAAAATCTCCCGTGATTATTGTGTTGTGGTCTATTTGACTCTGGAA